CCCAAAGTAAGTCGTTTCAAAGACCTGGCCCCTTTTGTATCTTATTTCTAAGTTACTTAAAATTAAAATTTAAAAAAAAAAAAAAAAAAAAAAAATACTAAAGAAGCTTCGCAGTTATTTTACAAATATTCATATTCCTAGATTAAAAGTGTAATCAAAATATGAAAATCGCCCAAAATATGAGAACGTTGGATCGTTCCTCCGCCATCGGATGTTGAAAGAAAACGTGGCGCGTCGTCGGTGAAAATCGAGCGGCGTCGATGGCATGCGCGCGATAATTCTGCGCGAGTGGGTATCGAGTGCCGCGTGCCCGCGATTTCTACCTCGGCAAACAATGCGATCCCTCGCGAAACGCAATCGTTTCTTCCCACTCGCGGTGAGCGTCGCCTCGTAGCATTCGTGCGACTGATCGTAACTCGTGAAACTGTTGCGACGGGACGCTACGAGTGTGAAAATTTCGCTGGAATCTCGGTGATGCAACAATAAGCCGAGACATTCTATGTTATTATGTTTTACGACTAGACAGGAACTAGATGTGGAAACACCGATTCATTCGCCTGGGAGGAGGGATTGAAACTGAACCGACGATAATCACGGAGCAGTAAATCGTCTTGGAGGCGCGCGAAATGTTCGTCGAGGATTAAAGCCGGTTGTTGAAAAATGCTCCGTAAAAACGGAAGCACGAACAGGTTAATTAATTGCGGTTCGAGGACGTTTGTGCAGTTTCATATCTTTACGAGATGGAACTGTAATTGCCACTTAACATTGAATAGCCTGTAAATTTCTGTTCTTGAAAATCGTTTCATAAACGCATCATGTGGGGATAATCGATTTTCAACGATTCGTACTTTATTCGTACTTTCTCGTCCCGCTGATACTCCTTGCTCTCTATTACTTCGTTCATTCACCACGGAATTTATTTGAGAACCAAATAGCCTGTAACAACAGAAATTCCAAAGTGTTTTCATAAACGCATCACTTGGAAATAATCGATTTTTTTTAACGATTCGTACTTTATTCGTACTTCTTCTTTATTCATACTCTTCTTACTGATACACGATATTACTTCATTCGTCGGAATTTAGTTGAGAACGAACAGTCAGTAACAACAGAAACGCACGTAATGGGAGTTGAAGCAAGTAGATTCAACCGATACTTAGTCAGACATTAGCTGCCCAATTTCTCTCGAATAAATGAGGCTCACTTATTGCGAACACTTTTGTAACCAACTGTATCTCTGCACCATAGCGACATGTAGTTCCATGCTGACTACGTACTCAAAAGAATACAATCGACGACCTTGATGAAAAGGCAGCGTCTCGGAGGGTGAAATTACAAGGCTCCGTCACTTTTACTCGAGCCCAGATCCGATACGTTGCTCGTCGATGGACCGTTCCTCGTCCAATCTTCTTCGTCTGCGATTACAGTTTTTAATTGCCAGCCTGTCCGACATGTTGCAGTCTCGCATAAATTTAACGCTGGCTGCGGATCAGCCGCAAGGGTCCGTGGAAACGAGGTGAGATCCTGGCGAGATCACCTCACCAATCCGCGGTCCCTCCTTCCGAGTCTCTTTGCTACTATTTTTTCAACTACATCTGCCTGTAGTCGAGTTTTGTTAGCCATTCAGACTTTCATTGCGATTCTGTTGCTCGATAAGAACGAGTGGGATTGTGCTTTGATTTTTCGGTACAGTGATACTAGCATATGTATTAGACACACGTATGTATATTAGCATTTTAGCTGGAAATGTAAAAATTAGAAATACTAATTGAACGATTAATTAAATGAAAATTGAGAGTGAGTTTCTTCATAAGAGTTTGCTCAGACTGTTTCAGAACGAATGACGTCGTTGAAGAGAAGCACGACGAAGAGGAAAGCTCCGGCGAGCTTGAAAGAAATACATATGCCAATCGTGTTGTAGTTTCGTTCCACAGCTGAAAAATGTCCTGCCTGGGAATGTCCTGTTACGAAGATGGCTTCCGATTGGCTGGCCCCGCGTCGGAATGCTCCCTCAGGAGCAAGGCTCGCATCGATGCACTTTTCGAGGACTCGAGGTACGAACTCTTATGTATATTCTCGTAACAATAAGCTTCCAATTTAATACAGTATAAAGAGCTACTTTATAATTTTAATCAACATATATTCTGATACTATATTATAAATAATATATTATTCTGATAATATATTTAAATAATATATATTATATTATATATAATATATAAATAATATATATTCTGATGATATTATATATAATATATTCTGATAATATTATATATTATATATAATATATAAATAATATATATTCTGATAATATATTATAAATAATATATTATTCTGATAATATTATATATTATATATATTATATATAAATAAGATATATTCTGATAATATTATATATTATATATAATATATAAATAATATATATTCTGATAATATTATATATTATATATAATATATAAATAATATATATTCTGATAATATTATATATTATATGTAATATATAAATAATATATATTCTGATAATAATCTTTGTAATTTTTAATTAATTGCAATTCCAAATTAAATCGAATAACTTTTTGCAATTCCAAATTAAATTGAAACTTATTTATTCAGGTCGATTTACGGGTCGAATTTTGGCGGTTGGTACGGAGGGGTGTCGACCATGAACTCGAATCATTTGGAAGAGATGGGCGCAGACGAGCAAAGGAGGGTGAACAGCGCGGTGCAGGCGAGGATCGAGGCGATGTTCGCTTCCGTGGAAGCCGAAAGCGGAACACCTGGTGAATGCGCCGCTGCGATTTTACCGGTAAATATATCGATTACTTTCCTCCTCGTGGTTCTTCCTCGTTCTCGTGCCAGCAACCACTTCGCTCTACTCTCGTGAACTTGTAGGACAATTGCTCGCCGCTGGTAACGCTGATGATAGTGTATTGATCTCGAGAGTATGCATTTTTCTTACATTAACGCAGTTTTAATTTAGAAGGTGGGGTGTTCCTCTTTTGAAGTAAGAGAAATCTCTTCAGAAATGAAATATTTAATATTCAAACGAAAATTTAATATTTTAACCAAAAATATTTAATGGTGTATATATCATTAGTATTATTATTATATTATTTTATATTATAAAATAATATTATTATATTATTTTATAATATTATTTACATTATTATTTATGTATGCCAAAAATATATAATATATTGTAATTATTAAATATATAAAATATATTAAATATAATTTTATAAATTTAATATATAAATATAAAAATATATTAAATATATATATAATATTATTGTAACTTAAGAAATTGAACTCTATAAGTATTCAATATTATAAGAAATGGAAGACAATCTTTCAACTTTTAACCTTCTTTGCATTTTTCTCACTGATTCAACAAAGATAACAAATTTTAGCATGTCCCAATATTCGGTCATAATTAAGTATTATTTGTCGTATTAGAGCACCATTTATTTTCATCTACCATCGTTAAATTATCCAATTATCTCTGTCTGAAAATTTCTAAAAATTCTACATCTCAATTGCTTTCGTATTCTCCGTCGTTGTTTCAAATTTGAGGACGAAATCGGTCTGATTGAGACGAATTGTCGCCGTACTGAACGCAGGATCCGCTCAACAAAGATTTCATTGCGATTAGATGGAATCACGAAAGAAAAGAGGATTTTCACTTATGTTAATTCGATCGTACGGCCGTGTCGCCGCGTCCCTGCCCCCGTGCACAGGAAAATCTCGAGGAACAGCCATTCGTTCCTCTCTCGAGACGAGTTCGCGCCTTGGCCGAGGACTTACCTACTTCGCGGCCTGAAAATCGCCTTTCGTATTTCGTACTTCGCCACGAAAATATCGGACTTTAACAAACGAGAAGATCTCGTTCTTGTTCCCCATATTTCTTTTCTCGTTTAATTTCCTTCCGTTTGCAAAAGTCTAAGAACATGGGAAAAGATAAAACGAATGGAATGTTTTAATTATTTTATACGTTATATAAATTTACACTGAAATTTTTTCGTGCACAAAAATTTATACGAAGTGGCCACGAATGGAAATAAAATTTAGCCCGACGTATAATTGGTCTGGTTGACTGCTTGCTCGTTTCGAAGACGGGCAAAAAATAAAAAGAACGTTGAAAAAAGGAGGACGATAGTAAAAATTGTCCGAATTTTTTAAATTTTGCGTTGAATGTACAACTGTTTAATCATGAATTTAGATGGACGTACGTGAGGAATATATTCGTGGAATATTTTTGTTCAATGTCGAGTTAAATATTCCTGCTATCTGATGGTTCAAGCAGACGTGTGTTAAACAACATTTGACCGAATGAGAGTAGAACGGAACATGCTGGCAGAGATTAGGAACGTCGTAACACTTAGCATTGCGCACTACTAATTATGCGACGCGGTCGAGCGCGATTTTCATCGGGGAACGAGCAAATATCGTTCTCGATGTTTAGGGAACGATGGAAAATGTACCGCGCCATCGAAACGTAATTTCCGCTTCCATCATGCAATATCAGTACTCTAATAACCTACCTTGTCTAAAACAAGAAAATTCCAATTATTTTGTGACAACCATAAATTATCCTACAAAAGTTGGAGAAATTTTAAGAAAAATCTTCGATTTATTATCATTTCTGGTACCTGAGAGACCTGAAAATTATTTTCTTCCCTGATCAGACATCAGAGAAACCCAAAATCCAAAAATCACAGATGAGATGATTATTCTCGACGTGTCGCTGCTTTTACATGATTAATCGGATACCTTTGTCGGAATGTGAAGAAACGCCCTAAATAGTTATTAGAGACAAAGTACTCACGGCGATTTTTAATCGTCACTTTCATTCCCGTTCACGATCCGCGAAGCGTGACCGGGCTGGCTCCCGACTATTTGGAGCACCGTAAAATTCCCCTTCGTTGCCGCCGATCGGCACGCGGATTTTTCTTATTGCCCCGCTTTTACGACCTCCCTCTTCCGCATCGTTGTGCCATTCGTCGTATGATACCTTCGCCGAGGTCAACAACAGCTTCAGATATGATCTTGAAAGCCGAGAGGTCTCTCCCGTGCTTCGAGTTCGCGAGCTTTTCCAACTTTATCGTCGTTTCCTTCATTCTCGATCGTCGAGCTTGCACGGATAAATAGCGGACGTATTGACGAAAGACGGTGGTTTTGAAATTACGATTGACAAGGAAAATGAAAGAGGGACGCAGTTGAAGTTACATACATGACTGACGTCTATTGAGAAAAATTGGGACGAAGAAATTTTTATTTACATGGGGTGAACGTTGGTTGCTGCCCGCTTCGCTTGTCGCTCTCTCGTCGTGCCTGTTACAGCCTCCGGAGAGATGTTTTAATGAATGAAGACGCGATGTAGAATAAATACGTTTATTCTCAACTAATACAATGACTGAATTGAGTGAGGGAATGAGTGGCCGACGCGGAATCACTCTGACTGATTTGGTGTAAAATGAAGGTGAATGTATAATTGACGCGGAGTTAGTCCTCGGACGGACTACGTGTGTCTCCCTGAATGTCTCTCTTCGCTCTGTATCTACGTCGCCCTTTTAATTGGTAGGCGACTTTCTGGAGCCGGCCAAGGCGCCTTGTTTATGCCCTACCGAGCCTTTCCACATACTGTCTCTCTCTCCAAGGCCAGAGAAAGTGTCCTTGGATGAGAGGTATGTTTGCACATCTGGCAATTCTCGGCAGGGTCGAGGCTTTATAGGAGTTGGCCTGACAAGACGCCTCGGAGGGTTCTGTTCTGCGCCAGAACATGGGGCAAAGTTTAAATTTAATAAATATAAAACACGCGATAGTGACAAATGTAGAAGTATCTGGATTATAATTCTTTTTATTGACTTTTATAAACTTAACTTTTATAAATTATTTTTATTAATTTAAAATTAATACGTACGTATGTGCATCGTTTGTTCGTGTGTCCTAAAATGTGTCCTAAAATTACCTTCGTTTAACTTCACTTCTGAAACGAAAGAGTGTTCCAGTATAGTAGAGTAAAATTGTATCATTTCACACAGTCGAAATTTTTATGAAAATGACGCTTCATCTGTTTTAACATTCCGTCGGTAAATTTTTTAATACGTTGCGCAACAGCGGAATTTGTCTAAAAGATAAAGATAAAATATACAAGATAAAATAAAATGAAATTGTTGCACCGAAAGATAAAGAGATAAAGTTTATTAGTATCTCATTACTTTGCGTGAGCAGAACTGATATCGTAGGTTTCGCTTTTAAATAGAAACGTATCTTGCACGCATCGTGAAACGGGGTTTTAGAATAGTTCTAGTTGGTTACAGTGACCGATGAAAACTCTTGATAACGGCGCACCATCGATTAATCTACGTAATTTACACCTTATTTGCATCGTGATAAACTTTCGTTATCCAGTCGCTTATGGCTTTTGTTTCTCCAATTAAAACAACCATTACCTTTTCCTTCGCTCTGTGATATCGGTGTTAAGTTGAATGGACTCGTAAAAGATGCGGTGCTTTCAGGAGGAAATTGATACGATCTTTCTTCATTTCTTGCAATTTGATGTACGATAACACAGCGTGATTGAAGAATTATATCCTACTTGGGTTGAACGAACTGCTCGATTCCAATAATTTATAATCCACTGTCAGACAGGTGCAAGCAGGTTTAAAATAATTTAAATCCACGAGTGATCTTTCCGTAGTTCAATTTATCAAAAATACTGAACAAGAAGAAATAGGAAATTACAATTTCGTCACAAACGAACTTGAATCTCTCCAGTAGCAGCCTCTTACGAAGGAACGAACTTCGATCTTCTACGATTGTTCGAAATCGTTCTTGATCGTTTTTTTAAAAACGAAAGCAGGGGTAAAGTCACACGCTGGCCAAGAGTAACCATTGAAATTACGTTTCACAGGTGAAATATATGGGCGCAGCTCCCGTTGGTGGTCGCGTGGCGAGCGTTCGTGGTCTCCAAGAACCACTGCGCCAACTGCTCGAGAGAATCGATGGCTCGGTGCGGGCGGAACTCGAGGTCTCCAGGCGAGGGTTGACTTTCCGCGCGCCCGACATCACCGAGAAGAACAACCCGTTCCGCAGGATCGCCGTGTGGAGCGCGTTGAGGCTTCGCAGTAAACCCACGCCATCGGGAGAGCTGCATCACGCTTTCTTGCCGTTGGTCGGCGATCACGAACAGAGCCAGGCAGGCGAGGAGAAGCACGCAGGCTTATACAGGTAGGGCATTGCGATGGAAAGCGCTGTCGGGAGAAATTAACGACGCCGTGGATGCACGTAACCAACACTCAGATCGAGTCTAGTTTACGACAATTATTCCTCGTAGAGAGGAATATAACATCTGATCAACGAGCCAGGGTTTGACATTTTTATGCAGTCTACGATCTTTCAGTCCATTGAAACGTCGCATCAACATTTTCCAATTTACGTCGTCGAATTCTATTTCAGATCAAGAATCATTCGAATCGCCGTAAAATTGATCGACAACGATTGAAATAAACATAAGTCCACAATTGCTTCGTTTTTTTTTCAGAACGATGCGTGGTCTGAAAACGATAGCAGACCACTATCCGCCGATATTTGCGGTAGTGATGCGACGACCAGGGGCCGCCAGATTACTGGAATGTCACGCATTCGGCTGTGAAACGGAAGAAGACGCAGTGGCCGCTGCGGCAACCCTTTATCGAGCGCTCGTGGCCGATCTGGACGCGAATCGACGTCGACCAAGGCACGCAAACGGCGTTGGTTGCATGAGCCTGGCCTCCGTAGCTTCCAGCGCCAGAGAGCCCAGTCCAAGTAGCAGACTCGGCATCAGAATGAACGTGTTACAGTCAGAGGCTGTTAGATTAACTCCTCAGCATCCTGTGAGACCTCCAAGAACAAAGAAAACCTCCGTGTCCAGCTCGGTGACGGAGGACGAAACGGGGAAGTCGGAATTGCAGAAGGCTCCTAGAAGAAAGAAGAAGAACTCCGACGTGAAGGCAGAAGACATTCTGGAGGCTCGAGGAAGAAGAAGGGAGGCTGTTCCAAAGGAGAAGGCGAGCCAAAATGTCACCTCCATTCAAAAGACTCTCGACTCGAGTGTTTCGAAGAAGGAAGAACGCGAGAATATAAAAAACAAAACGTTTGGCAGTAAAAATGAACTGGATGCGCCTGAAAAGATCGAGACTGGGAATTCTAGTAGCTCCGCGAGTAAGATTTACGACGTTGGCGCTAGTGGACTTTACGAGACAGTCTCGAATAAATACGAAAAGCTTCCGATAATTGGCAGAGCGGGGAAGGATGCAGAGAAACGGAATAAAGAATCGGAAGACGCGAGAGAGAAGATTTATGACAAGTCTTATGGTTCTTACAACTTGAACAACCCTCAAGTGTCCTCGAGAGACACGCCTAAAAGTCAAGAAACACGGTCTACGAGATCGGACGTTCTGACGTACGACAGGATTGAGAAGCCAGCTTGCAAGAGCGAGGAAAACTCATTGTACGAGCGAGCATTTAAGAGAAACAGCAAGGAGGAGAGACTGTACGAAGACCACTTCAAAGACGTTGACAAGATATACAGCGTTGCTCAAGAGGAAATTTACAACGGCAGAGGGGAGAAATTAGCGGCGGGGAAGATAAAGAGCTCGCAAGAAGACATATTCTTCGGCAGGTCTTGCAATAACGAGGTTTATCAGTCGAGTCGGGAGAATCGCGAGGATTCAGTGCCAATGGAACGAAGAAGGCCAAAGGACCCAGAACGGGCAACGACTGGGAAACGAGTGAGCAGAGTGGTTACCATGGACAAACCTTTGAAGAAGCAACTGAGCGATTCTACGTCGAATTTGAATTTAACAGAGTTTAATCAGCCGAGAGTTAGGAAGAGAAGCAGAGCTGGAAGCGAGCCGCCTGTTAGTAGATCTGAAGATGCTGTGAAAGCACTTCAGGAGACAAAGTTGAAGAGATCTCAGAGCGACGTAGACGTAGATCGGGGAGATTTGATGACCAGGGTCGAATTGCCCAGGAGAGGAAGCTTTCTGAAGCCTGGAAGCGCTAGGAGACCCAACAGTGTCAAAGGGGGCACTCCGCTGGGGTTCACGGAACTTTTTGACGAATTTAGGAACCAGGAGGGTTTGACCAGCGTTGACGACATCTTGGCTGCTATTATTGGTAAGTATCATTTGGAAAAATCCTAAAATCTAACGCTGTACCTTTTACAATTTTGAAAAGACTTTGAAGTTGAAGATCCATAGTTGGTTTTTGGCTTCTTTTGCTACTATTTTTTTTTTTTTTTTTTGACAAATTGTAGGAGATCGACATAAATGTAACGATAAGAAATTTAGTTGTTATTTTTCAACTTTTGCACATTGTTGTCAATGAGTGAATGATACTATATTGTTTTCTTTCTTAGACCCCGAAGGGATGTCTTTCAACGACTTGAAACCCCTGTACAAAGAGTTCTTGTTAAAATTGGCGGCGACACTGACTCAGGATGAACTGTATCAGAGATCGGCGAGCATAATGAGGAGACGTCGAAGGCCCCAACGAAGACGATCCAGCCGACGTACGTGCTTGCTTGGCAGGGCTATTAAGAGGTCTGTGTCGAGGTTAAAGGGTGGACCCACGGAATTTACTTCCGTGATCTTCCCGGCGAGACGACTGAACGATAGTTTTGGTAGTAGTTCTTCTTGCGATGCCAGAAACAACCACAGGAATCGTATGCTGGCCAATAAAATGGGCAAGAGGAGATCTTCTTGGAGAGCGAACAAACACGGCGTTTGTCACACCACCTCCGAAGACAGTGACACTTGTACGTGTCAATATCTTGCAATTATCTCAAATATTGGATTTCCACAGTAATTTCTTTCTTGAAGTTATTTCATATTTTACATTTCTCCGGTAAATTTCTTTTTCTTTTTTCTTTTTAGTTCTGTAGATTTCATAGGTTGTTTACCTTTAATTTATACATCGTACAATATAAAGTTCGCTAGAAATTAATAGAGCCACTACGATCATTCAGGCAGAAGACTGAACAGAAGTGCAGGAGCGGCGGCGAACAGAAGCAGCAGCGGTTACGTGAGCTGCAGCGAGTGTAGCTACGATTCAGAGTCGTGCACTTGCGTGTCAGCGGACAAGTGTTACTGCTCGTTATCGAGGAGGATCCCGACGGAACTTCACGTGCCTCCAAACACGGTGGTATGTGCTTGCGACACCGACAGCTGCTCCGAAAGCAATAAGTGTTACTGTGCCCGACAGCCCAATCGCCCGACCATACTCGAGCAGTTAAGACAAAGAGGCATCGTGCCCTCGGAGAGCACCCTCAGTCGAGCCGGAAGTCCAGACAGAGTGACCAAAACTGGCAGATGTCGGACACCTTTCCAAGGTTTGGACGTGCCGAAGGTAACACATACATCGATGGTCGAGCAACACAAAAGTCAAGAAATTAACAAAACTGAAGTTGTATTTTTCTCTCGTGTAGTAAATAGAGTTTGTTAACTTGCTAAATTATATATCATAGAATTTTTTTTATTATTCTCCCTCTTTTTATTAAAAAAGAATGAATAGGTTTTCATTCATTTGCAGAAGCAGTCGTCGTCAAGCTACGGCAGTTCGAACAACCTCGCCCTAGATTATGACCTGTTCAATCCAGGACGAAAGTCTCAACAGTCTTCAGACAGCGAAAAGGTGCTGGTCGTTAGCGCCAGGGATACACAGGGCCGTTTAGTATACGTCGGTGGCGCTGACAGAGACAAGAAATGCCTTTCCCATTGTTCCAGTCGATCTGGAGCACATCACGAAGCCCTTTCGATTAAGAAGAGCGCTGAAATCGCGGCAATTTTCGGAGCCGATTGGAATAGAATCAGTAGGCGAGCTAGCAATGCTTCCAGCATTAAAAGTTCCATCAGTCTGGAGGCTGGATTAGGGTATTTACCGTAATGATCATTTTTTTTTTTATAATTCCTCGTCTTATCTGATCCGATCCGGTTCGTCGACTTAATTTTAATTGCTCATTATCAGGCATTTCGCATGTTAATATCTTTCCCAAAAAAATGTAAAAGTTAGAAATCTCTCGGTCAGAGCTTGTTAGATGTTATACATATATATAATATATATAAATAAGAGCTTATTTTTTTATTTGTACTTAAAAAACGACAGCATTTAGTAAAAGGATGTAAATACACATTTATTCTCAAAGAAAACATTCAGAAATACATAAAACACGTCGAACTATTTCTTTTTTTACAATGCCGTAAATATTAGTGATAACAGTGTGGTTTCTATTTTTATACTTAGAATGTTTGTCTGGTACTTGAACAGTCGCACTTTTAACGTTCAGTTACTGTTTAATTAATCGTAGCTCATTGGCACAAAAAATCAAGGTATCAATATCAACGCGTGTATTAATTAATAACGGTACTGTTATTTCCATGGTTCGCAGAAACATGTCAAAAATGTACCAGACTCTCCTGTAACGGTAACATATTTCTGCGAGACTGATTTGATCTCAGCAAAAGTGGTTCTGAGTCGGGCATGCTAAAGTTGCTATTCGCGCTAAAGACATTATGAAAAGAGAAAGAACAGAAGCAAAAAATATTCAATACCGTTATTCTATTAACATACATGAATATTGCAAGTATATCATCATCACTTGTAAACTTCTTCCCTTTTATTTTCGTATTTTTAATAATTATAGATAAAAGTAAATCTACTGAGATTAAAAAAAAATTGTTTTATTCATCTTTTTGACTGTTATTTGTATGTATATTAATTGGCAATAATTTAGCATAAGTTTGTGAGATTCCTGATTGAATGTGATCATTATTCGTTTGTATTTTTATCATTCCTATGTTGCTACACAGAACCTGATAACTTAACTAAAGATAACTTAACAAACGAACTAAGGGAACAGTGTAATCGAGATCACGCGTAATCTCATTTCTCTCGAAATATATTGTCGTTTTGTTACATTATGTAATACATCTCTCGTGCAGTGTATATAAAATATGAATTCGTATTGTGCACTTCATCATTTACTGTTAGTAAAGTCTTAATTCATTTTATTAAATTTCTTCTTATATTTCGACGGCACTTCAACCTTCTTTATGTTATCTAAACCTATTTCCTCCTCGGTTCTAAAATTTGAAAAATGCCAAAAAATCACATTACGAAAGAATAAAAGTTGAAAGAGATCTAAAATTGAAAGAGTCGGAACAAAGTTTGCTACCTAAGTAAAATATTCACTAGATCCTCACAAATGAACAGCGCAGTATCATTTTCTTCCCATTTATGATATTCTCTGAGTATTATGTATGTATTTTTCTTTCTCAATATTTCTCTGCTCTTTCTTGTTGCACAAAGTTGAGTTATAGCCTCCAGTAACATGACTCTAAAAAATAATTTAAGAAGTAATAATTCCTATCTAAAAATATGGCTATAAAGACACACTTCTATACCTAATATCTGCATTTGGCTCTCTCTGTTTCGTCTCTGGTAAGTTTTGGAGTCCTTTTGGTAGCTTAGCATTGTCTTTATCATCAAATTTTTCAGGTCCAGCCAATGGTATAAGAAGATATGATAAAATATCTATTTCAGGACTTAATAACCATCCATGATTTTCCACGTCAAAGCAACAATTTTTTATAATACCAACGATTCCAGAACGTCTCACTAAGCTGTCTGGATAATCAATGAAAGGAAGAAATTTCTGGATCATCTTATGGTCTCTGTCCATTAGATACCTACAGATAATAAATTTATAATTTGCAAATTTGAATTTACATTTAAATTAAAAAGATTAATTAATAATTTACTTTCTCATACGCCGAGACTGACTAAGATTACAAAAAACAGAACTTAAATAATGAAGCTTTCCACCAACATTATTATACTGTTTCGAACAAAATGCTTTAATAATATCATCCCATGTATAACAACTTGTTCTAATAAGTGTCATAATCCTATCGGCTAAATGCTGTGGTCTGGTCATATTTGCAAGGATCATGCAGCATGGATCTGCTAGAATGCTTTCTTTGTCCATTATAAATCTAACAAGAAAAAGTAAAAAAATGTAAGAAAAGAGGAATATTGTATAGTATCTTATTAATAAAGCGTCTACCTAATAGAAACATGTATCAGATTGTAATTATATTTCCCAAATTTTGAGGAAGACTCTGAGATCGATAGAAACGTCTTAGCTCCTGCTTCATCCGCAATTATATTTATCAAAGCCAGAGATGTATCTTTAGCAATTGCTGTTGAGGAATCTTGAAGCAACGCAATTAGTTGCTTCAGTAGATGTGGAAATTTTATTAATTTCTCTCGTTCTTCTGTCATGTCAGTTAAAGGAACTAATATTCGAGGACCACGTGAAAATTAATAAAGAATAGAAAACTTATAATTACAAAAATTGAGGTTATAAAGCATGTTACGATCATAAATACTTACGGAGAACACGTTCTAAGACGGTAGATTTCGCAACTGATTGTACATTCGGTTTCAAGAGTTGAAATATTTCTTTAATGGTTAACTCCATTGTAATTAAATAACTCTCTTTTTAGTAAAATATTGCACAACAACCAAGTACAGAATGTCTCGTACAATAATCGCAAGGTGTACAGAATACGTACAGAACGCGTACGGAACGCTTACAGTGACATCTACCTCTAATATCTTTGTCTTTAAATTATTAATTTTGTAAATAAATTAGAAAAATGAAATAAATAATATTTTCCATGATTACTGAATTTTTTTTGGATCCTATATTTTATGTCATACGTAAAAAACTTCATAAGTTTTCCTGTAATAATAAATAATGACAGATGCAATTGTTAATAACTAATTAATTAAATAAAGATTTATAGCCAAAGTGTATGAAATTTGTTCTATATACTCTATAATTATTTTCGCATTCGATTTTGATTCAAATTTTAAACGTATTTTGAATGCTTCGATCCATTTAGTGGAATTGGTAAATCTTTATTTATGCATTTCGTAGCTTAAAATACAATACAGAAAGAAAGTTCTGTAGAAAATTCCCAAGAAATTTAATTTTAAATTTACAATCGCAAAAGTTCGCAAATTATTCCTTTTAAATATTATTCCTTTTTTTTGCAAATAAAAATGTTATGGACATTGAAACGCTAGCGTCACGTAGTGGTGAAATGGTGGGACTAATCGTTGTTCCTATCCTTGTCGCTCAATATTGCTCTCCTTGTTTATAGATAGTGCTGCCATCTGAGCCACTTCAATTTTGACTGGAACTAAAAGCACAAATTGGAAAAATCCAATAGATGGCAGCACTTTTGTAGACAAAGAAGGCAATAGTGTGCGACAAAGACAGAGATAACAATTAGTTCCAGTGTTTCACCGCTACATGGTGCTAGTGTGTTGATGTCCATAGAATAACCAAGTTTTCACTTGTAAAAAAAACTAATTAAGAGGGACAATTTGTAAACTTTTGCAGTTTTATCTTTTTAATTGGACTCTCAAACATTTTCTCTTTATACCATTTGAACGTTTATGGCTGAAATAGTTAAATTTATTTCAGGTTAAAGTTGTCACGTGGATACCTAACCTATGTTTACTGTTTGAAAAAGAACGATAATTGTAATACTATTAGCGAAATAAAAATCCTTAATGAAAAATGACAACCGACGAAAAGGTAACCACAGCGGAAGAGATATTAAATGACAGATTGTCCGAGGTTTCAGACGCGAATAATACGAATGTTACTGTTAATACGAAGAAGAAAACAAAAGTCAAAAAAGAGAAGTCATTAGAGCAACAAATCCCCAAAGGTAAACCAAAGTCTGGTAGAGTGTGGAAGGAAGAGAAGAAAAGGTACATAGAAAGAAGAGACGTTTGTTTTTATTGAGGTTGACCCCAATAAATAATTGTTTTATTTTGCAAACAGATTTTCATCTATTGTGAAAACACGTGGCATACGGTTGTCCTTCGACAAGAAACAAAAATTGAGAGAGAATCTGAAGCACATTAAGGAGATGTCGAGAGCGATAAAAGCGGAGAAACAAGCGCAAAAGGAGGCAAAGAAGGAGAGACGAAGAGCCAATCTAAAACGTGCAGAAGAGAATCAAAGGAAGAGTGAAATTGTACAAGTTGTAAGTATTGTTCATTGAAATCTTACAAATGAGAGACTTACCTTTTTTGTGAGAAATATACTTGCGATCACTGAACATAATATTTATTTATAGATTACAAACACTGCAAAATTGAAGAAGATCAAGAGGAAACATTTGAGAATGATACAGAAAAGAGATACGCTCAATCTATAGAAAAGGTTGCGTTTATTTGATTTATTTAAAATGTATAAAATATTGTAACTTAATGAAAAAAGAAAAATTCTTAAAATACGTAATAATGAAATTTCAGTCTTACGACATGCATCACTTTTATCAATACGCACTTTATATAAAGTATATGTATATGTAGTTTTTCGATAGAATCACAATTATCAGTAGGCGTATAATTTTGATAAATATATACATATTGCTACGCTTTTTAATTTGAGATTTCTGACTGTTTTGCATCTCTCATTTTCTGTCTTGCCACAAAATGTTGAAGGTCTTTTTTCAAGGTGTACTTTTCTGGATTAACCCACTGTAAATGAATTATATTTAATAAGTTTCCATATTAACTCAATATCGCTCGAATATATTGCTAACGAATTTACCATTGTTTTAACCCATTTTGGCAAATTTTCCTTGTTTTCATCCTGCAAAAATCTAAGAACGAAAGAAATATCAAACATTGTTAGAAACTTAAACGTTTGTATTTCTATAATTGACTAAATTATCACGAACCTTTCGTCGATTAGCAACAGAGCCCCCCAATCATGGATATGTCTCAAACAACGACCCAATGCTTGGTTCAACGCCCTGAACGCCTGAGTGGAATACCAGTCCGATCCTCTTAACAAGCCATTCTTAACCTTCTTGTCGTTATAAGCCATTTTCATATCAACCATAGGATCGTTCCTTACTGGATAAGGTATACCAACCTGAAGAAACAATTGAAAATATTTTCATGATCTTTCATTTGTACTGAACTGATTTAAACAAGTAACTCACAGTGACTACACAACGAGCTTCATCGTCTTTAAAGTCAATTCCTTCTGCTACTTTTCCTCTGAAGACTGCCAGTAATAGCGCTCCAGTAACGTTTTTCACTTGTTTAGCAGATGTCTGCTCTATCACTTGACGATATTCGAACATAATTCCCGCAAGGTCACCTCCATTGCGAGGTTCTATGAACACGTGCTTTACATTGGAGATTTTACTCAAAGTGAAAGTGGTCTTCCATCTTTCTATATGTTTGTGCATCACGTTATAAGAGGAGAAGAAGCAGAGGATTCCGTGAGGCATTGATTCGCAAATATCTAACATCACTCTACCTACTTCATCCTGCAAAAGATCATGTATCAGACGTCTTAAAAAGAGAAACAATATTTTAAAACAACTACGATGAATCACCAATTTTTTTCTATAGGAAAGATGTTGTCTTGTGATATCTGAAAAATCATTTATCTGATTTATATTTAAAAAATAAATTGATGTCATACCTGGAAAGACCAGCTGTTCACAGATGAAAAAGTCCCCCTGAGGGGAACCACTTGAGGTCCGTGGGGTATACAGGTCGCGTAAACTTGCTCCTTAGGTATGACATGACTAGTCTTCAGCACGTGTGGGAACGACGTTCCCAATTCACTTTCAAATGTCGCGGTTGGACTCAGAGTACCAGACGCGAGTATTATAGAGCGCGCGTTTTGAGCGAGCGGTGTAAAGATAACGCCTGGATTCATGCACATTAGTTTCAAGGTTCGTGCATGCTGTTTACGATGTTTTGCCGGAAACCAGTCATTAGAAACCCGGTTGAATAACCTTCCAGTCGGCTGCAATTTCGAAAAAAGTTAAGCTCTTTGTCAATAAGTTTTGAAATTTTCGTAGAACAATCCCCTCGCAGAACTAATCTTATCTTAAGAAAATAAAATGATATTTGCGAAAATCAGACTTTCTACTTACAGTTTTTAAATCATTTACTATCGCTTCGGTCACACACGCCGTGTAATCGTACGCGTGGTTGGTGAAAATCATCCGAACGGCGAACATCAGATGATCAAGTACACTCTTGGTGGCAGGTGAAATGACGGGCTTTGTGAATTTATGAGACATTTTGCTCTGTTCTTTCGCTTTATTCATGTCTGCAATCGCTGTGTAGCAAGCTTGTATAAACGATATACATAGGGGTTTGCTTATATAGTAAATGTCGAACAATACTGTCAGTTCATGGCCGGTCCAGTACGGACTCGAACGAATCTCGTTGTTATAGTTCTGTGAATTTGATACGTTGAAAAGATTAGGGATCGAGAGTTAGATTATCGTAGAATTTAAATTGAAAATATATTAAATTAACTAAAGATAATTGCAAAGTTTCGGTATTTCGATATTTAGACAATTAAGGAAAAATGATTTATGACAATCAATCGACTTACGCTCTTATTGAGGTCCACGCTGCCCAGCAACTGTAACACCCTGGAAACGAACATGGACAGAACATGGTAAGCCCCGGGATTTACATCGCTTACTCTTGCTTTTCCGAGACTTTCGCATTCTTTTAGGACAACTTGAAGATGATCCTCGCGGAAACTAACGCTTGCAACCTCTCTACAAATATCCTCTATGTTGTGAGCTTCGTCCAGAATAATTACTTGGTCCTTCAGATCCAGTTGCATCTGAATCAATCGCCGAATGATCGATTAAATTTCAATGGAACATTTTATCATCGGACAAGCGCTTTGGCATTTATTAAACGTTAAAGACTTACACTTTCGCGGATATCAGGGTCGATGATATAGTTGTAAGGGCAGAAAATAATGTCTGCTTGGCTCGCGAGACTTCTGGCAGCGAAATACGGACATGATTCTTCGTTCTTTCCAATGGTTACCAAGTCCTCGATGTCCCATATCGAAGACAAACCTCGATTCTCCACGGCTTGAAACGTGGAAATCTTCTTCTTGTTGGACTCGTTGTAAAATGGACACCCTTTGTGCTACGAAAATATTCTTTATTTGCAAGACTCAGGCTTCAAGCTTGAGTAGAATACGTAGAAGTTGAAAGTTTGTCGATGGAAATTTAGGAAAAGTTGGAATATCTTTCTTCTTAGAAAGTAGATTTCTTTGAAAATTGCAAGCTTAATTGACTTTTTAGAAAATTAGCGTAGCCAGAACGTTGGCGATAGTTTCCAAAAAAATTCCGCGGACTGATTTAATAAATCAATTGATCTTGGAATTGATGTGAAAATGCAGACCTTTATAGGATCCAACAACTCGTTGCAAAGCTCGGTTTTATTCTTCGTGGACTGTTGGATACATGTCTGCTCTCTGCTGCTCAAAATGGCCATTCTGTAAAAAGCAACCAGATTGTACACTTGTTTTCAAGAGAAAGAGAGAGAGAGAGAGAGAGAGAGAAATATTCTCATAATCTACGCAAGCTTCTTACTTCTTGTGTCTGTACGAAGTCTTCCTCAATTCCCTCACAACCTGCTCGATTTGCTTGTGCGTTCGCGTACCGTAATATATCTTCGAGACTTTCAACTTCTTTCTGAAAGAACGACAAATGACACCGATTGACATCAGCGAAATAAAGTTCGAGGCAGGGTTAGAATAATTCTCACAGTTTCTTCTCGTCGAAAATGTTCTCGCTGTTGTCATCATTGTGCGATGTGTGATCATCATCTACGCATTTTTTATTTGAATCTTCTCCATTGTTCTCGCCCGATGTCGTTGGCTCGTCGTCAACTGAAATCAATTCTCCTTGACAAAAATGTTTGAACGATCTCCTTTCCATCATCTTTCGGTCGAAGAAATTATACTTCGGACACTCTGACGAGAGGAAAGGGAAGAATGTCGATAACTCTTTCTTTCGATAAGTATCTTTCTTCTGTTGCCACCTCTTTTAGAATTCGCCCGTTGTTGACCGAACAACTCGTTTATTATTAACTTAAATCTTCAGTATTGCGTGTAATTGTGATATCGAACGTAGTTGTAAAGTCTTATCTTATTTATAAAAATTTTCGGTAGAACTAGTGTCTATTTTGAATTTTATTTATTAATTAATTTTATTAGTATTAAATTTGCACATACTATTATATATATTACTGTACTGTAACATATATAATAGTATTGGTATTAATTTCCATGTACTAATCTTCTCGCAACTTTCTCTCCTCTTATATAGGAGAGAAGAAGAAAAGAAATCAGTATTTTATCAGTATTAAATTTGCACATACTATTATACATGTTACTATACTGTTGTATATAGTTGGTATTAGTTTCCATGTACTAATCTTCTCACAACTTTCTCTCCTCTTATATAGGAGAGAAGAAGAAAAGAAATTAGTATTTTATCAGTATTAAATTTATACATACTATTATATATGTTACTGTATTATTGTATATAGTTGGTATTAATTTCCATGTACTAATTTTCTCGCAACTTTCTCTCCTCTTATATAGGAGAGAAGAAGAAAAGGAATCAGTATTTTATCAGTATTAAATTTGCACATACTATTATACATGTTACTGTACTGTTGTATATAGTATTGGTATTAATTTCCATGTACTAATCTTCTCGCAACTTTCTCTCCTCTTATATAGGAGAGAAGAAGAAAAGGAATCAGTATTTTATCAGTATTAAATTTGCACATACTATTATACATGTTACTGTACTGTTGTATATAGTATTGGTATTAGTTTCCATATACTCTTATATAGGAGAGAAGAAGAAAAGGAATCTGATAAAAAAAACTACTATGAAAATCTATATCCTCCTTCAGGGGAGTACAACAAAGTGCTACAAAGCACAATGAAGAGAATCTCACGGTATTCGCAAAAAATTCCTAATCTCGTACGCCGGAGGAGCTCTTACCGAATCTATCTCGATCTTTTTCAACCCGTTCGAAACGAACAACGCTCGAAATCCCGTCATTATTTGTACACGATGAAGAGACCGGACGAGAAATATAAGCAAAAATCCGCCGATTCATTTCACAGATCGCAAAGAACAAAAAAAAAAAGAGCAGTGGAAAAAGAAAAAAAAAAAGAAAGAGAAAGAGGAAGAACGAAGGGAGAGGAGAGGAGGAGGCAGGAAGAAAAAAAAAAAAAGAAACGAGGGCAAAGGGGCGAAACGTCGGAAAAGGGACAGGGGTATTCTTTCATCGAATTCGCATGATCCCCGGGCGCATCCTCGACGCGAGCGATTTCTAAGGGTGGGTTGCGCTCGACTAACTGAAAAGGATTACGCTTATTTAGGAAAGTTCTTCGTCGCTGAAAAGGCACAGACGGAGAAAGAGGAGACCATATCTCTTCTCTTTCGTTTCCACTCGTTCCACTCCTCGCTCTATTAATGCCTGTGAAAAAACGGGGACGAGGAGACGAGACGAGCGAGAGGAATGTCAAAACAGCGGGATCGGGATCGGGTGGCAGGTGAAAGGGCAGAGAGAGGTCCATTGAGCGGGATCAATAGGGGTGGTTTTATCCACCCTCTGGCCGGATGTCGACAAAAGGGGCCAAGCTTACTTGAAGGAAACGCACACAGACGGGCCGAAGAAGGCCCAGAGAAGGGGGAGGGGGGGGGGTGATTTTAATCCTTTCGGTGCCTCCGCGATTTACCCGGAGTCAGAAAAATAGAAAACGCTCGTAAATGACGATGAAAAGCCAGCAGCCAGCGGAGGACGGATGTTTATGTTCTTGTAAGCGGATTTTGACGAACGCGCGCCAAGGGCCAAGAGCCGCAGATCCATCTTCCTCGCCGGGGATCGACCAGTGTCGTCTCCGAAGCGAAATCCATTTCGTGCCGTGGAGCAAGGGAATAAGTTTGACGGAATGATAGTCGACGTGGTAGTTTGACGTTGATGAACGAAGCGAGGTGAAGAACCACTTCGCGATTGAGATATTTCGGCCACCATGATGGATGATATTTGGCATTGATGAAGACTCAAAGATTTGACGTGCAGCAAGTAAGTGGAGTGGCATGGTAGAAATTCTTTATTATATAACAGGTATTTGCTCATTCTTTTCATTACCTAAAAAGAAAAAAATCTCTCTGAGAATGTAGCAATTTCTTTGAAAAAAAAGAAAAAAATAATAATAATTAAATTAACAGAGTTTTAAAATAACTATTTATACCACGGTGTACGTGTCATACATATTGCAATAATGCATGACGTACGTATCACCTAGACGTACATCAATCCACAAACACTTTACTAATTGATTTACCTGTGCTTTCATTCGTTAAATATTATTCCTATCTCATCGATTACAATATTTAATTTAGATAGGAGTATATACATACATATATACAGATAGTACGTAAAAGTTAGTCGAGCATACATTTTGAAAGATCGAGCACGTGGATCAAACGGTGTAATAAATAATAACTGCCGGTTCCTCCGTTTTTTTTTTTTTTTTTTCACTCGTAAATCCATCGCCACCGCTCGGCGGAGAATACGAACGACCATTTTCGAACGAGTATCGAGGTGGAAGCGACGTCTCGTCGACGTCTCCATCGATCCCTTTCGGCTGGCACGAACGCAACAACCCGCAAGTGTCCGGACGTCGAGGGCGTAATTCGATGGCGACGTTAAAGGGGGCGTCTCTCAGGGGTGCGATAACTTTCGGCGTCGACTGTATCGCTGGATGATACCCCCTCGGGGGTTTTCTCCCCTCGGGTGTTGGGGTGTGTTTCGTTGCCAGGCAACGACACCCTCAAAGTCCCCGCTCTGATTGGCCCCGTCCCGCTTCTTCCTGTCTTAGCCTCTCTCTTCTCACCCCCTTCGACAATCAGCCAGCCGCGACCGTGCCTCCTATCGACGATCAAAACCACCCTTCTCCACCCGACGCGCGTCCGTCCCCCTTTGCACACCCCCCCTCCCCCTTCTCCTCCTCCTCCTCCTCCCTCCCGTCGGTCCACCAGAGCCGCCGAGCTGCTCCTCGAGCAGCCACGAAAATGGAAAGTCGGACACCTTTTGCCGCGCTCGATCGAGCCGAATTTGATTTACCCGCGTCCACGATCGACAATTTCATACTATTCGGAACGATTCGATTAATTCGTCGTCGGCTCGAGCCGTGATTTCTTTAATTTCGTTCGTTCCCCGGATGTTTCGATTGAATATGACTTCGTTGGAACAGTTCGAACTGTTTGGCAGACTTTGAGAAACGTTTAATCAACTTTACAGCGTTGCTCGGTCGAGTGATCGCTTTAGGAACGTTTGATCAATCTGGCTGCGATCCTTTTTTTTTTTTTTTTTTTGTAATTTCTATTTTTCGGCGAAACGATACCTCTCGGACCATACAGGAATGTAATTTTTTTACTCAGACTTGCAGTGTAAATCTGTGTCAGTTGATTAAGGATAAGATTTTGTTAATTCTGTTAAGTAGAATTCGCGAGATTCGCGGCATAATTTGCCTTCGCGAATCATTTACTGTATCAGATAATGCAATATTGAAATATACGTATCTAAAACGTTTTAAAATTACGTGCTGAAGATATTCTTGAACTCGTGAAATAGAGATAAAAAATAAAATTTGGTTCGATTCTTTTTTTCTGTTCGATGCGAGTACGCACCCTCGTGAATTTAAGTACAATATATTTGAGATGTTCAAGGCATCGTGATTGCCTGTAGGATTCCGTGTCAAGGGAGAATAATCTCAACTTGCTCCGAGGACCTACTTTAAGAACCATCCCCGAGACGTTTCATTTTTCGTTTGTTTTAAAGTATCGTCTCAAAGTTTCTGCTACATCCTTCTGTAAAGTAGAACTCGAACGTTGACCTATCCCGACAGACGATCCATCTAGCCATAAGTAGCAACGATTTAACGATACCGTGTTATCAAACAACGTATAAAAATCATTTTAAAAAAATCACGATTATAAATGTATAAAACGTACAAAAACGTATAATATAAAAATCATTTAAAAAAATCACGAGAAAAATATTGAAATTCATATTGGTGCAAACATTCTTAGTCTAGTCGTGCTAGCATAAAATAAAGAAGGCAATACAAATGCTAAACTAAGGCAACTGTGAACTCAGAATAATAATATATCAGACAAGAATAATAATATAAATTAGTTTGAAATTAACGCTTATTAACGGCTTATTGATAAATAAATCACACGCAGAGAACAAATTTGACCATAGTTAGGTAATTTTTGCAACGTGGCGAGGAAATAAAATAAAATAAAATAAAATCGAAAATCCTGCACTCGAGCATTAGAGCAATTTAATACGCGTTTTTACGTAAGATAAAAATATTCCGGAAACAGAAGAGGCGAGAAAAGGGCCACGTTCGAAGATCATCGCGCGCAGAAATGTCAACGAAACGGCCGGGAAGCCGGGCAATTAATTTGATCCTACGCGTCCACGCGAGTTAATTCGTATCAGCGTGGAGCGATATTTCGAAATTTATTATATGTCGCGTAAACCGAGCATCCTCCGGCGAGCAATTATACCAATTAATGATCACGGTCTACGGTGACGGTCGTTTTCATTCACCACATTAAAGTATCGTTGCTCTTTCATTCAGGCGACCTCCTTCTCTTCCTCCTCCTCCTGCTTCTGAATCGGAATCGCCATTATCGGGCAAAACATTGACCGTAAAAACAGCACGACTCGGTTGAAAATGAAAATCGTATGCAAAAATATACGCTTGCATTTTTCATTGATCCGCCGGGCATAAATTGACGTTAAATCACGGGGAAACGACCTTTGTTAGACCGCGAATCGAGGTCAAGA